CAATAAGCATAATGTGTCTGAGCATGATGTAGTGCACCAACACTTCATCCCTTTTTTAATCTATATATATTTTCATTGATTTCAGAGAGAAAGGAAGAGGGAGAGAGAGATAGAAATATCAATGATGAGAGAATCATTGATAGGCTGCCTCCTGCACGCCCCTTACTGGGGATGGAGCCCACAACCCAGGCATGTGTCCTTGACCACATTCGAACCTGGAACCCTTCAATCTACAGGCTGATGCTCTGTCCACTGAGCCAAACTGATTAGGGCTCATCCCTTTGTAATGAATAATACTCCCGTGGATTGGTATATCACAGTTTATTTATACACTCAGCCACCAATGGACCATAACATAGAATTTGCAAATTTTGGACTTGAACATAACTAAGACTATTTCTACTCCTAAAGCCTAACTCTAATAGCACTGCCCCAGGGGTCAGTGTGATAAGCTTTCCCATACAAGTTCTCAGGTAATGTAACAATTTTGTAAAGAAGCGATTATCACCCCCTTCCCACCTTTTCACAAAAGGATGGAGTGACTGGATCCAGGTGGGATTCCAAGCCTCGTGTCCACCCCAGCTGGTGTCTCTGGTTTCCAGTCATTGAACACAAAGTCCACGTGGAAAGCAAACTCCTTGGGAAGGATTTCAACGCAGCGTCAACGAACGCAGGAAATCCGTGAGTTCTGTGTCCTGAACACCCTCTGTGTGGCTTTCAGGCAGGCAACCAGCCTGCCAGCACACAGCTCTCATCGCTTCCCTTTCTGATACTCTCTCATTACTTTTAATTGCATCTGAGCCTCTGTAACATCTTGTATTTTGATTCCTAATCCAGGGCATTTCTCTGCCTCCCACTGGTCCAACCCAGCATCCTCTCTCATAGCTCTCGAGAGAAGTGCCCCCGAAAATGGAGTTGATCTCCTGTAATGAATTCATCTATAATGAATAAGTATAACATCCAAGTTCTGAGCATATTTACATAGCAATCTCCATACACAAGCAACATGACAAAGGAGTGTTTTTAAAAGAATGCCACCTCAAAGCTCCATTTCCTATAGCACTGAGAACACTATGGGAATCACCCTGACAAGAAGACAAGAATGACTTCCAGGGATGCTGGATTAGAGACAATAACATTGGCCCTATTAATGTTTAAAGTCAATGGAGCATAAAACGGCTTTTCTCTACTTACAGGCAGGCATCATCTTAGAGCGAGGAGGGAAAAAATTACCATTTAACTCTGCTGAAATCCATACGCCCTCCCCTCATTTTCATTCCCCTTGAAATTCTCCCGTTAGCACCATCAGAATGAAAATGAGAGTCACTCTCTCTGGGGGAAATGGCTTTCAATCCTCATCAGTAAAGGTGTGAAGAGCCGTCCATGGAGATGAAGGAGGAAGGCCGCCTGTCAGGAAAGGATCTGTCACCAAAACCTGCAGAACTAGTTGTGGTGACACTTTGGGACTGGGGAGCCTCTTGGGCTGACTTATTTAAACAGTCCCAGGTCCGGGGAGATGTGAGGGAGACAGGATACAAGGGCCTGGGCAAGTTCAAGGCAGTCATGCCTTTAGGGTATGTTTTACTTAGTGGGCTGCAAGGAGGAACATCATTACTACATTAGCTGTTTTCCCTGGGGGGATTGCTGGAATTGAGCCAGGCCTCTGTTAGTAAACCATTGGACTTAATCCCACATTACATTTGTGTAATGCCTGACAAAGCCTGTTCCCATTATCTCATTTGATCCTGAAAACAATCCTCTGAGGGAGGCAGGGCAGGGATTTTTTATTTTTTTTTCCATTTTACAACTGAAAACACTTGTAAACTGATTTTGCCAGGAGCCACAACACCCCAGACATGACAGGAATGAGACTTGAATCTAGGTCTTTGTACGACCTGTATCAGGGTTCTTTTGACTGCACACCGCAGGCTGATCAAAATATTTCCAGCCCCACCCAGTCCTCACATTCGTAGCTTAAAGGCACCTGGGAGCTCCCACCGCAGAGCTTGTGTTTATACTGCTCACACACCTCTGTCCTAAAGAAAAAACAGCCTGACTGGCAAGCTCTCTGAGGCAGAAAAAAGAAAAACATTATTTCATCTTGTCTCCCTGCACCAAAGCAAAATTAATCCAGATGGATTTGAAAAAATGAAGGCATTAGAAAAATCTAGGGAAATTTGAACTGAGTATTTAATAATTTTCTGGAGGCAATAAGACTCTAAATTTAGCACTATGTTAGAAGTCTCAAAGAAAGGGATTTTATAGATTTGACCACATTTGTTACATTTTAGTGAGGGCAGAAAAAGACTGTACAGGACCACCACCACCACGAACAACAAAAAACCATGAAGATATATGCTTTCAAAAAATGAAAAAAAAAATGCTCTAGCTGGTTTGGCTCAGTGGAAAGAGTGCGGGCCTGTGGACAGAAGGGTCTCGGGTTTGATTCCGGTAAAGGGTACATGCCCAGAGTTGCAGGCTCAATCCCTAGTTGGGGGAATGCAGGAGATAGCCAATTAATGATTCTCTCTCATTATTGATGTTTCTGTCTCTCCCTCTCCCTTTCCCCGCTGAAATCAATAAAAATACACTTTTAAAAAAAGGAAAGAAAAGAGTGACAGCTGGGATGTAGAGGAGTCATGCAAATTAAGAAAAAATTCAATAGGAAAAACTTATTAGGGAACAAGTCACAAAAAAGGGAAGTACAGTTGGTTAACATATATATATATATATATATATATATATATATATATATAACTTTTAATTGATTTCAGAGAGGAAGGGAGAGGGGGAGAGAGAAAATTATCAATGATGAGAGAGAATCACTGATTGGCTGCCTCCTGCACCCCCCACACTGGGGATGAGCCCGCAACCCAGGCATGTGCTCTGACAGGGATTCCAACCATGATCTGGTTCAGAGGTCTACTCTCAATCACTGAGCCACGCCAGCCGGTCAGTTGGTTAACGTTTAGAAAACTAGTGTATCTAAGTAAAATCAAAGAAATAAAAACTGAGAGGAGTCGAAACTGGTTTGGCTCAGTGGATAGAGCATCGGCCGGCGGACTGAAAGGTCCCAGGTTCGATTCCAAAGGCATGTACCTTGGTTGTGGGCACATCCCCAATAGGGGGTGTGCAAGAGGCAGCTGATCGATGGCTCTCATCGATGTTTCTAACTCTCTACTCTGTATCTCTCTCCCTTCCTCTCTGTAAAAAAATCAATAAAAATATATATTTAAAAATACTGAGAGGAGTTACCAATTTTACCTATGAAATCTGCAAAAATTTAACTATAATACTCAAATACTAGTGCAGGTGCAATGAATAATGCATGCTCACACAGTGATGGGAGGGGAAATTCACCCAACTGGGAAGCAATCTGGCACATTTATCAGAAACCTTAAAATATCCATATCCTTTGACCTAAAATTCCATTCCTGGAAATATATTCTTAGGAAAGAGTCATCAGCATGGAAAGCTCTATGCACAAAAAATGTCGGTCACAAGCGTATTTACAACGGCGGAATCAGGCAGACAGCAAACATGAAAGGAATTGTTCAATAGCTTATGGAACAGCCACTTGATGGGAACTTACATAATCATTGTATGTTCTCAAAGTGCATTACACCATAAACACTAACCGTTTATGGTGTAATACCAAGTGGAAAAGTGTACAGCATTTTATATGTGGCTGTTTGTATAACATTTTTAAAAAATATATTTTATTGATTTTTCACAGAGGAAGAGGGAGGGAAAGTTAGAAACATCGATGAGAAAGTCATCGACCAGCTGCCTCTTGCACACCCCCTACTGGGGATGTGCCCGAAACCAAGGTACAAGCCCTTGACCGGAATGGAACCTGGGACCTTTCAGTCCGCAGGCCAATGCTCTATCCACAGAGCCAAACCGGTTTCGGCTATTTGAATCTTTTATGTTATTTATTTACGCTTAATCTTCACCTGAGGATATTTTCCCAACGATTTTATCTATCTATCTATCTATCAATTATCGTAAGTGGAAGAGAGGGAAAGACAAACATATCAATAGGTTGCCTCCTGCAGGCGCCCTGACCGGGCAGGGCCCGGCGGGGAGGAGCCTGCAACAAGGTACATGCCCTTGATCCTAATCGACCCAGGACCCTTCCATCCGCAGGCCCACCACGCTCTATCCACCGAGCCAAACCTGCTAGGGCTGAATCTTTTATTTTTTTAATGAACAAAGTCAACTGTTCTTTAGCCATGCGGTGGCGCGTCCTTCTCGCCCTGTGCTAGAGGACTGGGAGTCGGGGCGGGGGAAGCTCAGAAACCCTGCCTCAGATCGGTTCATGTCCTCCTTACTGATGGCCCCTCAGCACCCCCAATTCTCTCTCCCTTCCCGGGCCTCCACCCTTCCGAAGCCGGCCCTGGGCCCTCCCCTCCCCCACCTCTCCCGGCCTGAGCGGCGGGGGCGGCGGGGCGCGGGGGCGGAGCCGGGCGGTCCCAGGCGTTGAAGACACGTGGGGAGGGAGCCGGCGTCCGAGCAGGAGGGTGAGGCGTGTGGGTGGGTGTGTCTGCGAGTGGGAGAAACCAACCCCGGCCGCCTCAGGGGTCTCCGCTGTCTTAGGGCGCTCACCCGCCCGGGGACCTACCCGGGTCTCCCCATTCCAGGATCCCGTTAGAGGTGGATACGGAGCGCCGGCAGGAGAAGACGCCTGCCACCGCCCTGCGCGGTCCCCGGCGGCCCGCGCCGCGCTGCCGCCTCGCGCGGCCCCCCCCCGGGCTCCGGGCGGTGGTAGGGCCCGCGGCGACGTCACCCATTGTTTACAAATCAACCCGAGCCGGTAGGACTCCTGCTGCCGCGGCTGCTGCGCGCGGCTCCGGTGCCCGCCGCCTCCCGCGTTCACGTCCGCCCCGGCCTCGGCCTCGGCCCCGGCTTCGGCCTCAGCACCGCGCCCGGCTCCGCCGCCGCGGCCCCTGGAGCCGCCAGCGACGCCCGCAGAGCCCCCGGCGCCGGGGCGGGGGGCCATGCCGTGCCGGCGGGAGGAGGAAGAGGAAGCCGGCGAGGAAGCGGAGGCGGAGGAGGAGGAGGAGGAGCGGGGCGGCTTCCTCCTGCTGGAGCGGCCGGTGACGCGGGGCGGCTCGGGCGAGGTGGACCGCCTGGTGGCCCAGATCGGCGAGACGCTGCAGCTGGACGCGGGGCCGGACCGCCCGGCTTCCCCGTGCGCGCCCCCCGCGCCGCCGCCGCCGCTGCAGCCCCCGCGGCCCCCGGCGGACAAGGCCCGGCTCCCGGACCGGCCGCTGCCGCTGCCGCCGCCGCCGCCCGCGCCGGCCGCGGCGCTGAGCCCGGCGCCGCCGGGGGCCCTGCGCTGCGCCCTCGGGGAGCGCGGCCGCGTGCGGGGCCGGGCTGCGCCCTACTTCGTGGCCGAGCTCGCCGCCGGCCCCAGCGCGCTGCCCGGACCGTGCCGGCGGGGGTGGCTGCGGGGCGCCGTCGCCTCCCGCCGCCTGCAGCAGCAGCGCCGGTGGCCCCCGCCCGGGGCGCGCGCCCGCGACGACGACCCGCACCGGCTCCTGCAGCAGCTGGTGCTCTCCGGGAACCTCATCAAGGAGGCCGTGCGGAGGCTGCAACGAGCTGTCGCCGCGGTTGCAGCCGCGGGCCCGGTGGGGCCGGACCACGTCGCCCGGCAGCCCTCGGGCGCCTGGCACTGACGCGGGGCCCCGGGAGGAGGAGGAGGCAGAAGAGGCCGCAGCGCAGACCCATCGGCGTCCTGCCCTCGCCCGCTCGGAGCTGGAGCCGCCGCCGCCGCCGCCGCCGCCGCCTGGGCAGCGGGGAGGCGTGTAGGAGGGGACACCCCGGGCCGAGGAGCGGCCGCCCCAGCGAGGGCGGGAGGAGAGAACTTGAACGTGGAGAAATGCACGGGCCAGGACGAGCCCGTGCGGCGGGAGAACGTCCCCGGCCGCCTGGGTGCCAAGGAACTGGGATAAACTGGGAGAACTATGGCAGCTACTTCAATTGACTCGGACCTGACTTTATTTACCCTTGGGGGCGTCGTGAGCTTGGATTGTTTAAAAAAAAAAAAAAAAACCCGATAGGGCCCCAAGGGGCGGGAATCGTGAGGGCTTTATAACAATACTTGAAAACTCAAATGACAGGAATACATTTTCTTTATTTTTTCCGCTGGAGGAGTTGAGTGAAAATGGTGCTACAATTGTGCAAAGAATTTCCGGGGAGGGAGAGGGGGGAGAAGAATGTAAAAGCTTGGCGGTGGGTGGGTGGCATCACCCCCTTTCACGCACCGAATTGGCAGCTCCTCGAGGTGGGAGATGTGATCGTCAGTTAGGGGGTGGGAGGGAGGTGGAGAGTTTTGGAGGTGGGTGACGTTGGAGTTGGGTTTGGGTATTTAAAGTAATTGACCTTGCCACCTGTAGTTCAAGGTCACGGTTTTCTGTCTGTGGGAGGCTGCGGGGAGAGCTGACTCACCCCCATGTCCTTTCTTTCTCTTCCTCCAAGAAGAGGCCAGTCTGTGCTTTCCTACCTTTTGGGAGTCTCCAGAAAAGACAGGTGGAGAGAGGGACATGGGGGGAGTGTTACTTGTTTTGTTTTTTTTTTCTTTCTGTGCTTTCCTTTCCAGAACTCCTCCTCCTCCTCCCATGAGGCCACTCTTGGCCATGCCATGTGCTTTCTCAGAAACGGTCATAAACAATCTCTCGGATCCCCAGCCCTCTCCCGTTCTGCTTTTGTCAGCCCACCTGCTCTGGTGTCTGCATGGCTAGACGAGACCCTGGCTGTTTCCCTGCACTGCGCTGGCCTCTCTGTGGATCCGTGGGCCTGAGCCTCCGTGGGTCCTCGCCCCTCACAGTTTCCTCCTGCCGCCAACCCTTCTCTGGGAGTGACTGAAACCATTTTTAAAATGTGACTCTCCTCCGAACGGAGGAACCGCGGGCTTTACCTTTGTGAAACTTGATGGCGCTGTAAGCGAGGTGCACGGTCCCCCTCCCCGACTTGAAGGTAGCTAAACCCATTTTTTAAAAAAAAGATTCAATGGCTTTTTCATCCTTCAGATGTAGCTGTTGAGGTACACTTCGCACCGGAGTGTCTGAAATTGTGGTGGTCCTGATTTATAGGATTTCTTAATTAAAATGTCTGCTGAATAAATTTGTTTTCGTGTTGTTTTGGAGCATGGTTTGGCTTTTTGGTGGAGCTGGGGGATAGAAGAGAACTTGGGGATACATCTAATAATGAAGACTGTGCTTGGGGAGACCCAGGCCCAGCACAGAATGCTGGCAGCCCTGCAGGACTTCAGTGCTGCTCTTCTGGTTGATGGTCCACAAGGTCAGAAAATTAAACTTAGTTTTTGTTGTTGTTAATCCTCACCCGAGTGTTTTTGTTTCCTCTGGTTTTTAGAGAGTGTGGAGGGAAGGGAAGAAGGGGGAGTCAGAGAGAAACATCGATTGGTTGCCTCCAGTATTCCACCTGACAGGCGACAGGCAGGGATTCAACCTGCAACCCAGGTACATGCTCTGGACGGGGAATGGAACCTGAGACCCTTCCGTGCTCAGGCCGACACCAACCACTGAGTTACACCAGCCAGGGCATTGAAATGTGTAGTCCCTTCCTACTTGCTCACTTGTCCTTTTCAAGAAAGCCTTTCTTGGTAAAGCCCCGGAACTGGAGCTTCAGGGGAAGTGACTCAGTTTGAGTCAGCCTGCTGCCCACCAGCTGTGTCACTGTTCTGTGCTTTTTTCCCTTTTCTCATTTATCTAACAGTAATACATTAGATAAATAATACTAAAATAAAAAAATCTATAAAGCAATATATTTTTTAGAAAAAAATAAAACTAATACTTAATAGGGTAGTTGGAGGGTCATGTGAGGGTCTGTGGTGTCTGGGATATTTGAGTGCTAATTTTTAAAAATATATATATTTTTATTGATTTTTAAATTTTTTTTAATATATTTTATTTTTTAAAATTATTTTTTTAAAGAAAGTTGTCATTTTTTCTTTTTTTAAAAAATATATATTTTATTGATCTTTTACAGAGAGGAAGGGAGAGGAATAGAGAGTTAGAAACATCGATGAGAGAGAGTTATCAGCTGCCTCCTGCACACCCCCTACTGGAGATGTGCCTGCAACCAAGGTACATGCTCTTGACTAGAATCGAACCTGGGACCCTTCAGTCCGTACGCAGGCGCTCTGAGCCAAACCGCTTAAGGCTGAGTGTTAATTCTTGATATCACCATTGGGCCTTCCTCAATCAGGTGGCCCATATCTGCCTACTAAGTGTGCCCCACTCACACGTCAGCCACCCCTTCTCTTCCACCACGAGCAGAAGCAGGTTTCTTCCTCTTTTGCTTCGGAATTTCCTTTTCCTGAACTCCTTCCAGAAGGCCAGCTCCACAAGCCTTCCCAACAGTTTGCTGTCATCAGTGGGGGTGGGGGTGGGAGTGGAAGTGGTAGCATTTACTGAGCACACACGTGCCACAAACTGTTCTGGGTGCTTTAAATCATTAGATCATCTTACTGTGTCATGGCTTTATCTGCCAGGAGGTGGGTACTATTTATTTTATAGGTGACACAGGCCCCGGAGATTAAATGATTTGTCTGAAGCTACCACCTTTTAAGTGGATGAAGCTGAGATTTGATCCCAGGCAGTCTGGCTGTAGGATCTTGTTCCCTCCACCAGATCTTCCAATTATACTGTACCACCCACATGAGACTTCCTGGACACCATGTGCTCCCATGTTGGCTTTATGAAAGTTCTCAAGAGTGTCCTACAAACCTCGACCCACGAAATACCTCAGCACAACAGCATCACTATCCTCACACTTTTTTTTTGTATACCAGCCTCATAGTGGGAGGTGCTGGGGATCCAGGATGGGATACGGCAGGGGTTCGGACATCCTGGAAGAACCCACAAGCAGGTTTTGGACCAAGGCCTTCACATGAGGGAATAGGGATTGCATAAGAGAAGCACAGATCATCCGTGGTATATGGCTGCTGCTTTTAGACCCTCAACTCTGTAAGATGAGGGCATAGGGCCAAGCCAGTAAGGTCTCACCCAGGGCAGCTGTCCTGTGAGTCTGCAGGATGGCCAGAACAGCCCTCAGGGGTGACGTTAGAATGGAGACTCTGGACAAGGAGGGAAGATCTACAGAACCTGAGAAGTGAGGGGAAGGGAACTGAGAGCCCTGTGATAGGCAAACACTCTGCGGGCACCTTTCACAAGATGTTGCTTTTAAAAAATATATATTTGATTTTAGAGAGGAACGAAGAGAGAGAGAGAGAAACATCAATGATGAGAGAATCATTGATCGGCTGCCTCCTGCACACCCACGCTGGGGATTGAGCCCTCAACCTGGACATGTGACTGACCAGGAATCAGGCCGTGACCTCTTGGTTCATAGATCGACATTCAATCACTGAGCCATGCCAGCTGGGCAAGATGTTGCTTTTCAAAGGGGAAGGGCAGGAATTATTGGTGCGAGAGCAGGCTCTGAACTCATGGCTTTTAGGGGGTCCCTGGCCACCTGGCTGAGCCTATGTACACCTTCCTTCCTTTACCCCAGCCCGGGCTACTGACCAGCCGTTGCAGGAGCTGTAGAGAGCCTGGGCCTGGGCCTGGGTTTGAGAAAGTGTCTCTGAGTCAAGGAAGCAATGGTCCTTTCTAAGGTGTTGACCTTTGGGATAGCACATTCCTAATAATACTCGGCCCAGGAATGATGATGGCTCAGGTCTTTAACCCCCTGGGATGGATAGGCACAGAATTAGGGGCGTGGGCATAGGGAGAGCTGAGTCAACTCCATCTTCTGAGGAGGCTGAGGCCTGGGTTTCCCTGGTAACATTCTGCAAGTCTCGAGTCCAGAAAGACCAGAACAATAGGGAAATGGTAAGGAGAGGCTGACTAGGTGGTGGAGGGGTGGTGGGGATTGATGAGGCATTTCACGTGGGAAGTTACTGGGACAGCAGCCTGTTGCTTCATAAATGACTATAAATTGGAGAGAGATCAGGGTTGAAGATTAAAGATTTGGCATTTGGAGCTAAGAAGAGTGGATTGAGCCTGGGAGATGCTATCAGTTGGGAAATAATAATAACACTAGTTAATGTGCCGAGTGCATGCCTTGTGCCAGGCTCTGTTCTAAGCACCTTACAAATACCAGCTCATCAAATCTATGTGGGAGGAAGAAGAGTAAACAAAAGGATTGGAAAGAAAGTGAGAGCGGAGAAACCAAAGTAGGCTCGCAGGTGAACTGAAGGATGGTGGGTAAGGGAGTGTATCTCCACATACTTTAGCCATATCCATCTGTATTATCTCTGCGGTCAGGTCCAGGGTATTTAAAATCAGATCTTGTCAAAGCCGGTTTGGCTCAGTGGATAGAGCGTTGGCCGGTAGACTGAGGGGTCCCAGGTTCGATTCTGGTCAAGGGCAAGTACCTTGGTTGCGGGCACATCCCCAGTGCAGGGTGTGCAGGAACCAGCTGATCAATGTTTCTCTCTCATCAATGTTTTTAACTATCTCTTTCCCTTCCTCTCTGTAGAAAATCAATAAAATATATATTTAAAAAAATAATAAAATAAAATCAGATCTTAGTAACTTTCATCATTTTTTAAAAAAGATATGATTTTATTTTAATTTTAATTTTTAATTTTTTTAAATATATATTTTATTGATTTTTTTACAGAGAGGAAGGGAGAGGATTAGAAAGCCAG